CCGGGCAACGGTGGACGTAGATGTGAAGGAATATCTCGAAGCCGCTGCCGTCGATAAGCGGGCGGCCTTTTTTATTTTTAGCATTTCCGTTTTCGGCTTGTCGTTTCCTGCTTTTCTTTTTGTTTCGTGGTCGACCTCCAGTTGCGTTTTATTTTTTCTTTTCTCTGTGTTTTCGAATGGGTGTGTCGTTTGCTTTTCATTGTTTTTTTTCTTTGTTTCCCGCGGGCGTGTTTGACCTTAGGGCGGGAAAATGGAAAAAAAAAGTTGGAGGGCCCGCCCGGTCACTCACTCACTCACGCCCACCCACCCACACACACACACACATATATATATATATAGATATATATAGTTAGTTAGTAAGTATTTGGAGTTCGTTTGCAGTGGTCGGGTTGGGGTTTGAACCCATGTACGGATTTTGAAATACCCAATTGCTCACTAAGATAACCGTTCAAGTGGACTGGGTCCCCGTTTGCTTTAGGGGACTGCTTTCTTTTCAAGTGTATCCGGCGTCAGGCTGCTGGCACGTCAGGATGTGCCTGTGTGTCCAAAGACTAACATCGAATAGTGTGGTAGTCGGAACGTCAAGAAATTGGGGTAACCGGTAGCACAGTTTCATCAGGCCTACCGGTAGTATAGTGTGGAGAACCGAAAGAATGGCAAAAACTGAAAATGTGTCGATTTCCATCCGCGATTTATTTTGTAGTCTAGATATATATATATTTTTTTTAATATTTTTCCTAAAAACATCACGAGCAAATTTATGACCCCTCCAAATTTCAGGTTTTTTTACGTATTCTTTGGAGCACGAAAAATCGTTGAACTTGGAGTATTTTTCCCGTTGGCCCACAAATGGCACAGTGGGAAAACTGGAACATGCACCAAATCGGCACGGTGATTAAGTTGACGTCAAAATAATTTTGTTTTTTTTTCTGATATTTTTGCTGGAAAGATCATGACGAAATCTACGGACCCTCAAAGTTTTAAATTTTTCTGTGAATCCTTCTAACTGCAAATAATAGCCAAAGTTGTCGATGTCAAATTGGGGGACTAGGCCCGCCGTTTCAGCCTCCGGTCGCCGCCCTCCCTCAAAACCCGCCCGAACGTACAGATGGGGGCTATTTCCTGCTGTCGGAGGGAGTGGTGGTTTCCCAACCAATTCAATTACCTGTTGAATCTGGACCGGAAGGCCTTTCAGGCCTTTTTTATTGTCATTATAGTATTATGGGGAACCTCGTAGCAGCCACATCCGTGCTCAAGCCTCCAACGAGGGAACATGTGGGAACTACACCCACCAGCAGGTGCGATACCTGCTACAACAGGTGGGTGATACCGGCCAGGGGTATAAGTAATAAGTATAAGAATATATATATATATATATATATATATATATGGAGGGCGTCAGGATCACTGCTGACAGAAGTTCATTTTATTCCAGAAAATGTGGCAGTTACTTTGTCCAATGTTGTTGCAACCACCAACATCAGATCCTTTGTGATCGGGCTGGGTAACACCAGGCCATGATTTTCAGTGCGAGGTCCCTGTTTTTTTTTTTTTTTTTGCCTTTTTCCTGTTTTTTTCAGCCCAGAAATTCGTAATGAACCTGTCCCCCCGCTGCCACTCGGTGTCACACTGGATCGGCCAAACTCCTATCCGACAGCTAATGGGACCATACTCCAGGACAGTCAACAAGAACTGTCCTTTTGTGACAGACTATTTTTATTCTTTTTCTTTTTCTGTTCTCGACCTTTTTTTTTTTTTTTTTTTTTTCATCTTTCTATTTTGCTGTTGTTTTCTTTGTCTGTTTCAACAAGAAAGTGTCCTTTTTTTTATTTATTTATTTATTTATTTATTTATTTTAACTCAACTCGTACTTTTATTATTTGCTGGAAACCGGGTCCAACGTCCCTTACATATATGCCATGGTATGTCGGGCTGGGCAAGGCACTCTCGCCCAAGCCCATCCCTACCACAGCAAAGAAGACCTGTCTTGGATGGTTTATCAGAAAATGAAAGGCAAACTATGGACCAATGAAGCAATGTGACGAACCACTTTCTGTAACTCACGATTTTCTGCGCAATTGCAACGAGGGGTCCTAAGCTGAGAAGATTGGGCTAATTACGGGAAATCGGGATCGGTGGAAAATTGCATCAGTACCCTTGCTTTTTCGTCTCTTTCGTCGCTTCTTGTCGGATGACTGGGTTCGGAGCTGGGTGTGTCCTGGGACGGCCCGGTTGAGTGATTGGTCGAATGGATGTCTGGCGCGCCAGCACGCGCGCGATTAATAAAGGTTGACGTTGTTTCTTTCGGGTCGATTTCGATCTTTTGGGCGCGACTATCGCGCGGAAAATTTCTTTGTTCTTTTTTAATTTCCTTTTAAATCTTTTTCGAATTTTGTCGAGCCCCCGATGACTCTCGGAATTTCGGACTTTCCTTCTGGAATTTGTGCTTTTTTTGCTTTTTCGCATTAGATAGGAATTTAGGAATTCAGCAATTAGGATTTTTCCTGCCGCGCGGTGCCTTTTGTCTACGGGCTTCTTCATGCGGCCGCAACGGGACTCCGATTAGTGGGCGCCCTTAATCGTGTGTGTAACTGTAATTTTGGGCAGGCGCCATTGTAACTGTATCTTTCTTCTTGCACTTCGTCTCTCCCGCCCTCCCTCTCTTTCTTTTGCTGAAATTTGTGTAAGCCGCGGCTTGCATGCTCGGATCGATGCGTGGAGAAGGGTTACGTCCCCCACGCCGCGGCCGATCATGCTGAACGCAGGCGCTCCCTCTCTTATCCCCACTCTAAGTCCTGGTAATACCGTGTTCTTCGCGCATGCATGCACATTATAAATTTCGGCTGCGCGATTAGTCAGCTCTCTTAACCCGTTGTTGGAAGCTCGGGGTTGCGCGATCAGGAAGGGTCGGCACACGAGCGAAGTAAGAGGTGAGTAGAGTAGGAGTTGGGAGACCCGACGGGCTGGTGCCGAACACGCGGGATTGACGTGGGCCACGACGGACTGTGGGCACGGGCGAATCCGACGGGTGCGGGAGGACTAAGTGGGGTGACAACTTCGTGGGGTGGTGCGCGACGACGGACTGTCCGCATCGGTGAGAGAGAGAGAGAAGGAGAGAGTTGAGGTCGATGGACGCGGATTTGCTGTTTCTTTGTCTCTTCCCCCTCCTCTTCATCTGTGTATATACATTTTGAGATGATGGGGCGATTTTTGCTCGTTCTTATTTCCGTTTCGGCTTTCTGAAATCTGGGCTTGGGTTTTTGCTCACACTTTTCTTTGCTCACATCATGTGTATGATTATCGAATGTATGGATGTATGGATGTGTGGACGTTATGCCTGCATGTCTATCTTTTTGCTGAGAACCCCTTCCCTTGCTTTTTGTTTGTGTCTAATCTTTGCCCACACCTAATGCGGTTGTAGATCGGATAAGAATCCCGCCCCGATAGCGATTCTGTCCTCGTTTTTGCTTGTCTCACAATGGAGTTCTGCTATGGTTGCATCTCGCATAATCGAAACTTACGAAGCGATTAGACGATCCGAAGTCTGACCCTGCGAACACTGTGCGAGAACACGTGTAAACGGGATTCGAGTCGCGCCCTTACACACGTTCCCGTGCGGCGATTCGCTCGCCCCAAAAGATTCGCGGCGGAACCGTCATCCCGTACAAGCACACTGCACGTGCTCGTGCGCGGTAACGATATCTCGACCCGAGCTACCCCATCGACGATGATACCATGACGCGCTCTTGGAGCTCAGATTCATCCTACGACCCGGACTACTTCACCCCTTTGATACACAAGCTCATAAGAACACGATACCCCTGTTACACGGAGAATCGACTATGTCCACGGGAGTTCCACTGTGCCACCTCTAGCGACCCTCGGTGCTCTGATTTCCCTTCCCCCGACCACACCTACTACTTCACCCACCCGGGATTTGTTGTCATCACCACCTATTTCCCTCCTTTCCGCCTTCTTCTCCCGTATCACCAACTCAGCGTCGTTCCGTGGCCGGCCATAGCCCCCTATTGGCCCGATACGTTTTGTGTGAATTGCCGACGAAGCGGCGAACGGAGAACTTCGGAATTCCGAAGGCCCAACCCAGGCGCGCGGCGGCTTGCGCCACGTGGCGGCCCCCGACGGCCTAACTTTTCGGGACCGCCTCCACCGTGGAGGGATTTCCCCGCAAACCGTCGCCCACAGTGCCCGGGCCCCATCGGACCTTGAGTCCCTTGCGCACGCGCCCCTTATTCGCCTAATTGCATTCATACCCTTAAGACTCCCCCACTTTCCCAAAAATCCTTGGCACACCCTTTTTCGCACTTCCAGGCCCATACCCCACTCCGATCAGGAAGTCGCGCTGGGCGTGAGGTTGGTATCGGAGCCCGACACGTGGCTAGGGTCTTGGGATTGATAGCACGTTAATTAGGCGACCTGGCTAACCGTGGGCGACCTCGCCCTCGGAACGCGCATAGACGCGACCCTATTGTCACCAGAAGCAGATCGGCTAACCGGCGAGCAGCCAATATGGTTGCCAATGTGCAAAATCCGGTTCCGCAACAAAATGCCAATCCACCTAATCAACCTGCCCCACGTGCACGAGCTCCCATGTTGCCACCAGATCTCTATCTATTTGATCCAGCGCACCATCTCGCAGGAGCATGGCTGGCCACGCTTAGAGCACAGCAGTATGATGATCACGAAGCACAGATCAACATTCCGGCCCGAATGGGAGGAAACGCCCATCATTGGTATAGTACCTATGTATGGGTGGATCTCCCGACCTTCGAACAAGATTTTATGAACCGATTTGATTATGTCCACCCTGAGCAAGCGCTGTACATGATCAAGGACCGAGTGCAAAAACCGCTCGAATCCGTTGTGGAATATCGAAACCGGTTCTACAGAATGTTCGTAAAAACTGAGGGAGGTGAGCAAGTAGGGAGATATCTGTTCATTGACGGACTCCGCAGCCGGACAATAAGGGCTAAGTTGCGAAAGCAGTTTTCCCCCATCACCCATACGTTTCAACAAATTATGGTTGTTGCGGAAGAAATGGAACAGAAATTCGCGGCGAACTTCCTAGAAAGAGAAAACTACCCTAGAGACGGAGATTCGACAGATCTTGCACGAGCAATAGCAGAGTTGGATGCTTTACAGAACAAATTTGAAAACATGGGGTTTGTATCAGGACCTGTCACCTATATGGAACAGATAGGCCCCAAACGAGTAGTCCTAAGCGAGACTCTGAGCATCTCTGCTCCTATGATGCCCCCGCCCATCAGGGCCTTACCCCCGCCGCCGGTTGAGGCTCCTGTACGATCAAACGAGTCGGCGGCCATTTTCGAACTAACCAAGACCTTGATTAGTTTGATCCAAGAAAGCAAAAAGGAGCAACGAGAGCACAATGCTCGGCTGGAAGCCATGATGAGGAACATGCGACCCATTGCGGTGCGTGCCCCTCTGATGCAGCAAGGATTAGCCCCAGCCCCTGCTCTCGGGGGAGCTGCGAACAATCAAAATGTCTGCTACGCCTGTCATCAGCCCGGACACCTAGCCCGTGATTGCCCCCACCGACCCCCACAACAGCGGATCAGAGCCGCACCTATGGCTGCGGCTCCCATGGCCAACGGACCTGGACGAGTCGGAGCCCTGATGGAAGAAATAGAGGGTGGGGGAAGTGCCCTGGCTACCTCAAGAGAGGCCGCCGAGCTAATCCCGCTAAACCAGTACGTATCGCTAGGATATCCTGGGCTTGGAATGATCGGAACAATCCGACCAGCACCAGAACCGAAAGAGGTGGCGGAGTGGCGACCGTCCCTAGGAGAAATGGAGTTGGGAGGACCCTCCTTCGTCACAGGGGAGATCGATGTATTAAACATCATCCAAGCTTTGGACCATCGGATTCCCCTTCCGATTGGTCATCTGCTCTCGATCTTCGAGCAAGCCAACGAGCGAATGTTACAGCATTGCAAAGCGAACCGAAAGCGATTCGCCCTTGCCCGAACCCCAAACGCGAAAGCCAAAAGCCCCGCGCCCGAAGAAAACCCCGCAAGTACTTAGGATCCGATACGGGTAGGTCTAATTCAAAAAGACGATCATTTCCTACAGATTAAACCAATTCCGTGAAAATCCGCAGAGTGCGATATAGAAATTTGGGGAATTCCTTACAATGCAATTATAGATTCGGGAGCAGCTGTGTTGGCTATTTCACTGAGAGTGGTCGAAAGGGCGGGTAGGAAAAATTACCTGATCATGCTTTCTGAGAAAGATCAGCTCGTTTCGGCTGACGAAGAAAGGATTAAAATCGTGGGAAGGATGACCAATGTCGCTTTCCGATTGGGAAAAGTGCACGCGCTTGGCGATGTCGTAGTACTAGATGTCAATACGTACGATGTTCTTTTCGGACTTCCCGCTCTTGTGGCGTTGCGAGCAAACCTGGACTTCGAACGACGATCGATCGTCCTCCGAAATACAGGAGGAAAACCCTACGTCGTGCCTATGCAATTGACCCTTCGCACTACCATTAACACGGTCCCGCGGGTTTCGCCGATGATGGCAGGGACTCTCCGTATGATCTCCTGGGATGAATCCGCAGACGGAAAGTCATCAACGAATGATGCGAACAGCAGTGACGAAGATGATCCGGAGATCTTGAAATTAGCACTACAACTCGTTTACTACCCGCCGCCCAAAACGATAGCGAGAACGATGCAACTGACCAGCCGAAAAATTCGAAGAACCAAGGCAATGAGCTTGGTTAGCCCCTCGTGCAGATTTCGAGGATGGTCGACTCTTTGGAACCCCCTCAAACTCTGTACGAAGGAATCACCCCTCTCCTCGCCCGGTATAGCGACAAGAAGCATTACTATGACATTACGGATCTACCCAAGTCCTTATTAACATCGGCTAAAAAAGTGAGGTTGTTACGCTTGGGGGTGGAGGCAAGCGCGTTTCGAAGCAGAAACAGACGGACTGGGGATAAAGATCGCAACCAATAAAGTACCATGGCGGGATGTTTGTGACGGGATTACCCCGAAAGGACACGTGGCCATCCGGGAAGAAGATGCCCAGATGATGGCCACGGTGTTCTCCTGGCGATCAGACCATTCATTCATCTCGGCGCCCTTACCCGACTTGGCAAAACAGGCGAGCACGAAACAGATTGATGTTCGGATCTGGGACCAACTTTTTGAACTGCACGTTCCACAATATGTGTCGGATGAAATCCACCGGGTGATTGCGGATATTCTAACGGAATATCAAGGAGCGATTAGTGTGTCAGACACTGACATTGGGTTGTCGTTAGTAATCCAACATGAAATTCAGACAGGAAATCACTCCCTGATTCATTGCAAACCTTATCGCTATTCCTTGATTGAACGCAAAAAGGCTCTCGAACGAATTCGGGAGTTCGAAGCCAGCGGTTGGATTGAACCCGCTACTGGACCTTGGTCTTTTCCCGTAGTGTTGGTACCGAAGAAGAACGGAGCGATTCGCATTTGCATTGATTATCGCAAGTTGAATGAAATCACGATCAAAGATGTGTATCCCCTCCCCCGGATTGATGATCTGTTGGATGCGATTGAATGCGCTAATTATTTCAGCAAGTTTAATATTCGGCATGACTTCCATCATATTCTGGTAAGGGAAGAAGATCGGCCGAAAACGGCCTTTGTGTTGTTTGAGGGCACGTGGCAGTGGGTTCAGTGTCCGATGGGGATTTGCAATGCGCCTGCCACGTTTCAGCAAGCGATGAACATGACGTTCCATAACTTCGTCAACAAGATATGGTTGACGCAAGGAATGATTAACTTCTGCGTGATCGTGTACATGGATGACATCCTGGTCTATTTGGAAACCTATCACGCGCACGCGCAACACATCGAATGATCATTGGGTGCATTGAGAGACGCTGGGTTCAAGATTGCGCTTGAAAAGAGTGAATTTTTCCTCTCAGAAATTTCGTTCTTGGGCTATGTCGTGACATGTGTAGGATTGCGTCCAGACTCGAGAAAAGTTGCGGCAGTGAAGGAAGCTCCGGTTCCCACGTCACTGACGCAAGTTCGAGCCTTCTTGGGACTAGTGTCGTACTATCGGCGCTTCATCAAGGGCTTTGCCGCGATTGCACGACCACTACCGAATCTGTTATGGAAGGACCAGCCTCTCAGCTGGGACGCGGAGTGCCTGCAGGCCTTTGCAACCCTCAAGGACGCTTTGGCAACGACCCCTATTTTGATTCGACCGGACCCCTCGAAGCAGTTCATTCTCATCACGGACTGGCAACCGGAGGCTATTTCCGCTATTCTGGCGCAGAAGGGGAACGATGGTCGCGAACATGTCATCGAGTATGCGTCACGAACCGTGCCGGACGAACGGAGAAATGACTCCGCACCTCAGGGTGAGTATTACGCGGTAGTTTGGGGAATCCCACACTTCCATCCATATCTGTACGGACAGAAGTTTCGCCTCGTAACGGATCACAAGCCTCTGCTGGCGCTGAAGAAACTCACCAACTACACGGTCATGATTGGCCGTTGGGCGGTGCGACTACAAGAATACGACTTCGATATCGTCCATCGAAAGACAGAGCGACACGACAACGCAGACGGGCTGGCACGTCTACATCGACTTGCCAAGGTTCCAAAGGGCGAGGAAATTACACCGTGGAAAGAGCCGGACCTGACTAACGAGCCGAAGTACGGACAAGTGGCAGTTCTCCCACGTGGCAAGAATCAAAACGGTGGTGATGGGTGATGAAGGTAACCACACTACCCCTCTTTCTCCCCCGTCCTCATCGTCTTTTCCCTCCCTGCCTGACAAATTTTGCTATTTTTGCGAAGCTATCTCCCGTGTCTATTCGGTCTCCATGCGTCCTAACGGGGTGGGATATGTGGATTGGATAGATTTCCGACAGTGTGTTGCACGAGCCCATGGCTCGTGCATCCAATGGTAAACTGTGGTTGTGCCCCTTGTGCCAGACCAACAAAATTCCGACCGAGGCTCGATTTTTGGATGCCACGTCAGAAGGATTGGAAAAGACTCGAAAGTTTAGAAGGGCCGAAGTATGGATGGATATTGCCTTAATTGCCACCCTAGTAGGTAACCCCCTCCAGGATTTTACCAAGGAAGATCGGAGGAGGGCCAACGAAAGGGCTCGGGATTATCCATGGATAGAAGGTAGATTAGAAAAACGGAAAACGGACAGTAGTGGGATTTGGATGATAGTGCCGCACCCGTTCGTGCAGTATGACTGGGTTAAGACAACCCACGAGGAAATTGCGGCCCATTTTGCCGTACGAATCACGAAGTCCGCTATCGACAAAAATGAGTGGTACTGGTCCAATATCCGCGACGATGTGAAGTACATCGTCACCAACTGTCAAGTCTGCGCCGCTGATAAAGCGCCGATTCAGCCACCAAGGTCGATAGTGCCCACGGTTGTTGAACGGCCATTTCAGAGAGTAAGCATGCACACTACCGACAAAGTGGTGCCCCCTGGCCCTAATAGTTGCGACTATTCAGTCCTATTGGTATTTGTCGACCATTTCTCGAAATGGATCGAAGCGTATCCTTGTCGCACGCTGTAAGCCACGAAAATCGCGCGATACGTCAACCGTTTCCTCGGGATGCATCAGGATACGGAAGAGATCCTGACCGACAACGGGGCTGAATTCAGGGGAGAAGTGTTAAGGAATCTGGTCCTACATGGCTTCGCCATACGGAACACTGCACCCCACATGTCACAATCCGATGGGCTGGTCGAAAACGCTAACCGAGTGATAAAGACAGCGTTGCGACGAAACATCGCGGCACGGGATCCGAGACCCTGGCCCGATATCGTCGATCACATCCTGGCTGTCCATCGCGGAACGCCCCACGAATCGACGGGGCTGAGCCCCTTCCAATTAAGGACCAATAATGTCGCTTGCGTTTCGATACCAAGCCTCCCGGATGAGTCTACATTGAACCGACGGCCCACCAGGGCCACGGCTCTCGACAAGGCCAAACGACACCTAGAGTTAATGGAACGGTCGCTGCCCAGGTTAGCTCGAAAGCGACAGAAAATGACCGAACTAGCCTGGGGACGACAGGTCCGGAGCTACGAGGCCCGAAATAGGAATGCGGGTCCGCGGCCCCAGTACAAATTGGGCGACGTGGTGCAGGTGAGGAAATGTGCTCGCCAGGGTAAGCTAGCGCCAGGATTCTTCGGACGATATCCCGTGATCGAGCTCGGCCCCAACGGCGTGGACACCGTGCGTCTCGCCCCTGAAGTCTCTGGCAGTCGATCGGCTCGTCCGATCACACGCCACGTGTCCTATCTTCGCCTCCTTCCCTCTGATCCGTCTCCTTCTCCCTCGATCTCTTCTTCTGAGGAAGCCGGCGACGACGACTCTGACTCTCCGCCATCTCCCTCTTTTTCCTGCTCCCTCTCTGCCACCCCGTCACCCTCGCCATCGCCGTGAGTTTCGCCATCGAGTGAGCTTTCAGTGATCAGTTGCTGATGCCACGGGGAAAGATCTCAGCCATCCGCCAAGTGCATCATCCGCGGATAAGCCCCGACTTCATGCGCCTTGCGCAGTTCTTCTGCACTGCGGGTGTATACGGCGCGGCAGAGTTCCGATTCACGAGCGATCCCCAGGTAGTGGTGCTGGCCGAGGCAACGGCGTTCCAACGGCGAGCGGCCCCGGGAATCAGCCACGTGTCTACCGTGGTAGTCTTCAGCGGCAACATCACCGCCTTCGATCCGGCGCGGCAAGCCGCCATCAAAAGCACCTTGTACCAGTGGGGTCGGGATCTGGCCACTGATTGGGATCGACGGCTCACAAGGCACGGTGACAAGTGCTATCCTGTCGACGACATCGAAGTCAACACGTTGCGCACGATGCTACGCGAGCCACCTGTCGTCCTCCCAGAACTTGCTCCCTTCCAGCCGCGCAGATGAGCCACGCACCGATCTCGACGTTCTCTCCTCCCTCTCTCTTCCCCATCTTCTAGCAGTCCTCTCACTACCCTCGTCTCTCCTTCCGTCTGGAGCTGCTGACAGTACCCATCGTTGATCCGGACCGTTGGAGGCTGTGGCATGCAGAATTCGTCGAGCTCTCATTTTGCCTGCTACGAGTGGGTCTGAACTGGATGTGGGAAGGCGATCAGAGGCCCGCGTCGGAGATTGTGGAGTTGCTCGTCATTCAGGCGTGGAGGACTAACGTGGCAGGAGATCTTCTGGGATTCGTCTTTGGAGCTGTGGATCGAGGAAACCGATCACAGATCATGCGCGAACTTACGATCGTGATCGCGCGATTGGCCGACAAACTCCCCCTCGACATCGTCTCTCAGAGCGACGAGGAACCCGTGCCACATACCCTCTCAAGGACTCTCGCCCCGAGCCTCCTGTGGTCGGCTTGTATCGAGGAGCGCTGGGCAGACGACCGTTTTCCCTCCCGTAGCGAGTACCTGAACGTCCACAGTATGACTAATCCCTGCTTCTTTCGGCAACCAACGGCGTTCGAGTGGGCGGCGCTGAGAGCAGAAGAGGAGGCCGAAGAGGAATCGGAAGGAGAATTGAGGAGAGAGGCCGGGGAAGCAGCGGCCCGATTGGCCGAGGACGAGGAAGAAGAGCGCGAAGCAGAAGAAGAGTCGGCGGAAGCTGAAGAAGAAGAAGAAGAAGAAGAAGCAGAGGAGGAGACTTCGGAGGAAGAGAAAGAGGCCTATAGTGAGTACATCGAGGGTGAGCAAATTGAGGAGGAGGTCGAAGACGACGAAGAAGTGGAAAGCGGGGACGACCCGGAGCCAACGCACAACGAGCTCGAGTGGGTGTCAGGACCAGATCGACAAGAGGAAAACCCTGAGGCTGCTGCACAACGCAAGAAAGAGATCGAGGAAGGAAAGCGGCTGGCGATCGATCCCGCACCAAACGATCCTTTCAAGGATCCCGAGCCGCCCAAGCCGGAGCATGGAGACCTTGCGGCCACGACCTCAAGAGCCGCGACGACAAGGCGCCGACCCCGATCCCGATCCACGTCCCCCTCCGCCTCCGCCCGTCCCCCAATTCGTCAACGTGTCAATGAGGGGCTTAGCCCTTCGTCCCCGATCCATATACCACCATCCCCTTAGCTATCTCTCTTTCAATCATTATTTCCATCGCGTCGTGTACCCCCATAATCCCTTCCCCATCGCCACCTTCCGACATTTCTACTCCGCCCGCCTAGAACTGACTGTCCACCCCCACCCTTCCGTTCGGTGTGCTGTCCCCGATTACCCCCTCCACAATCTACTCCTTAGTGCCGCGTGGCGAGGACGTAACCATATAGAGGTTTATTGCGTGGTCACGGGGACCTTCCCCGCGTGGGAGGACCATGATCGGTTCCGCACAAACGTCCTCAGAACCCTCGTCTCCCTTTACCCAGACTACCTCGCTTCCCTTCCCCACAGCAGCCAGCGATTCCCCTGCTTCCATCGCATTGTGCGTTTTCAAAAACTTCCTTACGACCTCACTGCGATCGGTCGCTTCATACCCGAGCTTATGATGGAACCGCCCCGCCCTCCCTCATACGCGTATCGCCTTCTCTTCCCCCTTCCGATTAATTACTGATGCAACCGGTAAGGCACAAAGGTCGCGGCGACGGCACGAGAAAGATCCCGTCCTTGGATCGTCGAGAGCCCAATCTGAGGAATTAGTAGAAGAGCAGAGTTGCCGCGTTGGATGACGCCCGGACGCAATCGAACGGTAAGTGGCATAAAAAGAAGTGCTCCGCGTGTCGATCGATTAGAGAAATCGACAGGTGTCGACAAGCAGGCAGGAGCTTGCTAATACTCGAACCCCCTGGGCGTCACATATGTGACGAACCACTTTCTGTAACGCGCGATTTTCTACGCAGTTGCAACGAGGGGTCCTAAGCTGGGAAGATTGGGCCAATTACGGGAAATCGGGATCGGTGGAAAATTGCATCAGTACCCTTACTTTTTCGTCTCTTTCGTCGCTTCTTGTCGGATGACTGGGTTCAGAGTTGGGTGTGTCCTGGGACGGCCCGGTTGAGTGATTGGTCGAATGGATGTCTGGCGCGCCACCACGCGCGCGATTAATAAAGGTTGATGTCGTTTTTTTCAAGTCCATTTCGATCTTTTGGCCGCGAACATCGCGTGGGAAATTGCTTCGTTCTTTTTGAATTTCCTTTTAAATCTTTTTCGAATTTTGTCAATCCCTCGATGGCTCTCGGAATTTCGGACTTTCCTTCTGGAATTTGTGCTTTTTTTTTGCTTTTTCGCATTAGATAGGAATTTAGGAATTCATCAATTAGGATTTTTCTTGCCGCGCGGCGCCTTTTGTCTACGCGCTTCTTCATGCGGCGGCAACGGTATTCTGATTAGTGGGCGCCCTTAATCGTGTGTGTAACTGTAATTTTGGGCGGGTGCCATTGTAACTGTATCTTTCTTCTTGCACTTCGTCTCTCCTGCCCTCCCTCTCTTTCTTTTGCTGAAAGTTTTGTAAGTCGCGGCTTGCATGCTCGGATCGATGCGTGGAGAAGGGTTACGTCCCCCACGCGGCGGCCGATCATGCAGAATGCAGGCGCTCCCTCTCTAATCCCCACTCTAAGTCCTGGTAATACCGTGTTCTTCGTGCATGCATGCACGCTATAAATTTCGATTGCGCGATTAGTCAGTTCTCTTAACCCGTTGTTGGAAGCTCGGGGTTGCGCGATCAAGAAGGGTCGGCACACGAGCGAAGTAAGAGGTGAGTAGAGTAGGAGTTGGGCGACCCGACGGGCTGGTGCCGAACGCGCGGGATTGACGTGACGGACTGTGGGCACGGGCGAATCCGACGGGTGCGGGAGGACCAAGCGGGGTGACAACTTCGTGGGGTGGTGCGTGACGACAAACTGTCCGCATCGGCGAGAGAGAGAGAGAGGGAGAGAGTTGAGGTCGATGGACGCGGATTTGCTTTTTCTTTGTCTCTTCCCCCTCCTCTTCATCTGTGTATATACATTTTGATTGCGGCTCCGGGCGGTTTTTGCCCGTTCTTATTTCCGTTTCGACTTTCTGAAATCTGGGCTTGGGTTTTTGCTGACACTTGTCTTTGCTCGCATCATGTGTATGATTGTCGATTGTATGGATGTATGGATGTGTGGACGTTATGCCTGCGTGTCTATCTTTTGCTGAGAATTCCTGTCCTTGCTTTTTGTTTGTGTCGAATCTTTGCCCACACCTGATGCGGTTGTAGATGGGATAAGAATCTCGCCCCGATAGAGATTCTGTTCTCGTTTTTGCTTGTCTCACGATGGAGTTGGGCTATGGTTGCATCTCGCATGATCCAAACTTACGAAGCGATTAGACGATCCGAAGTCTGGCCCTGCGAACACCGCGCGAGAACACGTGTAAACGCGATTCGAGTCGCGCCCTTACATGCGTTCCCGTGCGGCGATTCGCTCGCCCGAAAAGACTCGCGGCGGAACCGTCATCCCGTACGAGCACACTGCATGTGCTCGTGCGCGGTAACGATATCTCGACCCGAGCTACCCCATCGACGATGATACCATGACGCGCTCTTGGAGCTCAGATTCATCCTACGACCCGGACTACTTCACCCCTTTGACAAACGAGCTCATAAGAACACGATATCCTTGTCACACGGAGAATCGACTATGTCCGCGGGAGTTCCACTGTGCCACCTCTAACGACCCTTGGTGCTCTGATTTCCCTTCCCCCGACCACACCTACTACTTCACCCACCCGGGATTTGTTGTCATCACCACCAGTTTTCCTCCTTTCCGCCTTCTTCTCCCGTATCACCAACTCAGCGTCGTTCCGTGGCCGGCCATAGCCCCCTATTGGCCCAATACGTTTTGTGTGAATTGCCGACGAAGCGGCGAACAGAGAACTCCGGAATTCTGAAGGCCCAACCCAAGCGCGCAGCGGCCTGCGCCACGTGGCGGCCCCCGACGGCCTAACTTTTCGGGACCGCCTCCACCGCGGAGGTATTTCCCCGCAAACCGTCGCCCACAGTGCCCGGGCCTCATCGGACCTTGAGTCCCTTGTGCACGCGCCCCTTATTCGCCCCTTATTCCCAAAAATCCTTGGCACACCCTTTTCGCACTTCCAGGCCCATACCCCACTCCGATCAGGAAGTCGAGCTGGGCGTGAGGTTGGGCGTCACAGCAAAGTTAGCAAAGGCTCATTGTACTACCCTCAGCAGTGCGCCTATCTTCCCACTATCCTGTTGATCAATATACCCATCAATATACCCAATCAATGCATCCCTGACTGCTGACTACTAACCGTTACACTAATGTGTTGTGTTCTCTATAGTCTACCATTGGCTATTCACACCTTGCACTGAGCAGACCTGCAGAAGTCTGTAAAACCCAGATTACTTATTGTACAAAGAAAGTAGAGAATCTCAACATTGGCTGACTGCCCGGCTGAGCATCCACTCTAACTAAGCCCGATAAGGCATCCCATCTGCAACAGAACCACTTGGTAGCCCTTGCTGAGAAACCCTTTCTTTGCACCCAGTACTCCCAATCTGCTGATACCGGCTGTTTAATGGCATACTTTATTTCAGCCCTTATCATCAGTGGTGTTGGACGTTCCTCTTCCCGCATTGTAGTGTTTCTGAGGTTCCAAAGGGTCCACACAATGGCGCCTCGAATTGTCTCTTCTGCATGGGCAAACCGTACGCGCGTTGCAGTTCTCCTTGCCGCAACCCCCAGGAGGATAAAGTTGTCCCCCCAGCGAGTGTCCGCACCCGGAATCGGGACATCTGATTGTCTCCATCATTCCCAAAAGGGTCTGGATAATTCACATTGCAACACAAAGTGTTGTATATCTTCCATTCGGGTCCCTGAACATATTTGACACTCAGGCACTGCATTCGTAGTTCTTTTAGCACACCAAGTGTTAACCGGGAGCGCCAAATGCATGCCCCTTTTTTTTCTTTTCTGATCCCGGCCGTTTTTTTTTGTTTTTTTTTTTTCTTGGGCGTTTTTTTTTTTTCCCCTTTTCTTTTCTTTTCGTTTTATTTTGTTGTTGTCGTCTCGCTCCGTTCTGGCGCCGGCATGGGCGGCGACAAGAGGGCGTTGGGCGGGAAAA